TACTATGTGTCTGTCTGGATTATTTCACTTAGCATAATATTCTCCAATTTTATCTATGTTGTCATGAATTACAGTTTTCTCCTTTTTAAAGACTGTATACTATACCATTGTGTATATACCACATTTTATTTATCCATTCATCTGTTGATGGACTCTTAGGTTACTCTGATATCATGACTATTATGACTAATGCTGGAATAAACATGTGAGTGGAGCTATCTCTTTGATATACCTATTTCACTTCCTTTGGCTATACTCAGTCTACTCAGAAGTTAGACTGCTGGATTATATAGCAATTCTACTTACAGTTGTTTGAGGAATCTCCATACTATTTTCCAAAGTAGCTGTATTTATTTGAATTCCAACAAAGACTGTACAAGTCTTCCCTTTTGCTCACATTATCACAAACATTTATTATTCCTTGTATTTTTAATAATAGTCACTCTAGCAGGTGTAAAGAGATAACTGTCTTGTAGTTTTAATTTGTGTTCTCCTGAGTAGTAATGCTGAACATTTTTATATGTCTTTTGGACACTCATATCTCTTGTTTTGAGACATTTCTGTTCAGATCCTTCACTCACTTTCAATTTTTTTTCTTGCTATTCAGTTGTTTGTGTTGCTTATATATTTTGGATATTGGTCCATTATCAGAAGTATGATTTGAAAATATTTTTTCCCAATCCATTGGTTGTATCCTCATTCTGTCAATTATTTTCTTTGTTGTGCAAAAGTTTTTCTTCTTTTCACTTTGATAGAATTCCATTTGTTTTTATTTTTTTATTTTTTTTTTTTTTTGAGACGGAGTTTCGCTCTTGTTACCCAGGCTGGAGTGCAATGGCGCGATCTCGGCTCACCGCAATCTCCGCCTCCTGGGTTCAGGCAATTCTCCTGCCTCAGCCTCCGGAGTAGCTGGGACTACAGGCACGCGCCACCATGCCCAGCTAATTTTTTGTATCTTTTTAGTAGAGACGGGGTTTCACCATGTTGACCAGGATGGTCTCGATCTCTTGACCTCGTGATCCACCCGCCTCGGCCTCCCAAAGTGCTGGGATTACAGGCTTGAGCCACCGCGCCCGGCCCCTGTTTTTATTTTTATTGTCTCTGCTCTTAAAGTGCTATTGAAGAAATCATCACATGGACAGATGTCATAAAACATTTCCTCTATATTTTCTTCTAGAAGATTTAGAGTTTCAGGTCTATCATTTAAGTCTTTTGTTTATTTTAGTTAAGATTTCGTATATAGTGTGATATAAGAATCCAAACTTAATCCTTCTGCTGTGGATATTCAGTTTTTCTAATACCACTTACTAAAGAGTCTTTTTTCCATGGTTTTCTTCATGGCTTTCTCAAAAATCAATAAACCATATATTCTTGGGTTTATTTCTGGGCTTTCTGTCTTGTTCCATTGGTTGATGTGTCTGTTTTTATGCTAGTGCCATGATGTTTTAATTACAATAACTTTATATTTTGAAATCAGAAATTGTAACATGTTTAGCTGTGTTCTTTTCTCTCAGGATTGCTTTGGCTCTTTGAGATTCTTTTCTAATTTTATATGAATTTTAGAATTTGTTTTTTATTTCTGTGAAAACTGACAATTGAGTTTTGATAGAATTTGCATTGAACCTGTAGATCACTTTGGGTGAGATGAACATTTTAACAATAATAATTTTTTCAATGTATGAATATTGAATATATTTCTATTTCTTTGTGTCTTCAATTTCTTTCATCAATGTTTTATACTTTTCAGTGTATAGGTTATTCACAAATTAAGTTGGTAGGTGGTAACCTCCCTTGCCTTTGCTCCAATCCTAGGTGAGTAACTGTCTTGCCTTGCTCCTCTCTGCAGTCCTTGGGTCACTGATACTTCCTTGATGAATCTCAATATGGCTTCCCATAGAATCCTCTTGAAGAGCTAGTGTTTACTCATCAGTCCTTGTCCTCTCCATGACAGTGGCATACACTAGCTGCTTACAGTTAGCCCCCTTGAAACCTCTCCCTCAATGGTGTCTTTTGATGCAGAGAAGTTTAACATTTTGATAATGTTCAGTGTATCTATTTTATTCCTCTAGTTGTTTAAGCTTTTGCTGTTACACTTAAGAAACTGCTGTTTAAATTACAGTAACACTTATATATAGCTATGTTTCCTTCTAAGAGTTTTATAGTTCTAGCAGTTTTATTTAGGCCTTTAAATTTGAGCTCACTTTTATACACAGTGTGAGATACAAGTCCAGATTCTTTTGTAACTAAATATTCAACTAAATTTAGTTGAGCATGAATGTATAATCAACTAAATGTATTGTTATTTGTGAATTCTCAATTGTGTTACATTGGTCAATATGTCTATTCTTGTGGCAGTACTACACCATCCTTATTACCACAGCTTTGTAGTAAGTCTTGAAATTGCAAGTTAACTTTTTAAATATTGTTTTGGTTATTCAGGGTTCCTTGAATTTTCATGTAAATTTTATTATGGTCTTATTTACTTCTGAAGAAAAACAAAATTATAGATTTAATAAGAAATTCACTGAATCTACAGATCCATTCGTGGAATACTGCTACCTCAACAATGTTAGATCTTTTATCCCAGTGACATGAAATATCCATTTGTTTAAATCTGCCTCAATTTATTTCAATTATTTGTAGGTTTCAGTATAAAAGTATTGGACTTTATTGTTAAAATGTAGTTTTCAATTTTTCAATTTTCTTTTCAGATTATTCATTTCTATTGTATAGAAATACAACTAGTTTTAGGGAGACTGATGTTAGAAAGATGATGAAACAGGAGGTCTCCTGTTTGTATTCCCCCCACAACAATAATTTGTCAGTGACATGGGTACAAAAGTAATTTGTTATAGCTTTAATATCCAGGTAGGAGGTTATAATACATTAGTAGAGCCAAAGACATAGAAGGGTCACGTTTGAGAAGGCAGGCTTGAACCTACCTATTAGGATTGCTCACATTTGTCTCAGATACAGACCTGGAAACAGTCCTGTACTGACATGGACATCATTCTTGTCACCTGGGCTATCTGCAAAGGAAGCTTGTTGGAGGTACATCTGCTTGTGCCTTGGGTAACAGGCTTGTCAACTTCAGTACCAATTGTGGATTCTGAAGTGGCCTGTAAACCAAGTCTACCTCCAAGCTGTGGTCTGGAAGAATACTACCTGCCCAGAATCCAGAAGGAGATACAACCATACACGCCCTAGAGAATGGCTTACCAACCTCATTTTGACTGCAGATTTGAAACTTGCCCTATGGCTTGGTTTGACTGCAGATTTGAAACTTGCCCTTTTCAGTTGCAGTCTAGGAGCAGTCTTGCCTTTGTGACAGCTCAGTGGGGAGGATGATTTTCCATGCACAAAGGCTAGGGAAAGACTGGGCCAAAGGCAAAAATGCCAATGGAGGTTCCACTGTAGATCCTGAAGTGGCCCTGTGACCCAGTATTGGCTGCATTTCACTGTGGTCTGGGGCCAGTCATGCTGCCCAGAAACCTAAAAAGAAGCATATCCATCCCCAAAGGCAGGCCTGTACATATCAGTACTAGCTGTCAACCCTGAAGCAGCCCTGTGATTCCATTGTAGCCCATCTGCCACACTGCAGGACTGTTTCTGATTGTCCATGGATATGCCCAGTGACTCAGTATGAGCCACCCCCATCTGCATAACTGGTATCAAGCCCACTATCTGTGGACCCAAATGTTGACCCTTTCCCCAGCACTAGCCCTATTGGCTGGCTCTAATTATTTTGAGGTATGTTCCTTCAATACTTATAAAACAAGTATCCTGGAGACAGTTCCATCTACACAGCAACCATACAGGATCTATAATTGCCTGATAACAGGCCTATGAACCATAGACTTTATTGCAGTCCCAGAAGCAAACATATAACTTAACTACAAAGCCATTTGACTACATTCCCAAAAGGCAATCTCATAAGTAAGGGGACCTGATGGAATAAGGTCATTATCTGCAGGGACCAGCCTATAAGAAATAGAAGATATGTTTGCTCCTTTGAATGTGTGAACACTGATGCAAGCCTACATGAAACACAAAGAATCAATCAAATTGAACAGACCTCCAGTAGCCAACATAAAAAATTGAAGATGTACAAATTGCTTGAAAATTTAAAGTATTCATTTTAAAGGTGCTCAATGAGATGTAAGAAAACACAAATAGAAAACCAAACAAAATCAGAAAAATGATTTAGGGAAAATGAGAAATGTAGCAAAGAAATAAACACCATGAAGAAGAATTAAACAGAAATCCCAGAGCTGAAGAATACATTGACAGAACTGAAAAAAAATTAATAGAAAGCTTGAACACCATACTTGATCATGAAGAAGAAAGAATTAGTGAATAGAAGGACAAGTCATTTGAAATTTGACAGAAGAATAAAAAGAAAAAATGAAGGAGTCAAGAAAGCATATGGTACATATTGGGAACTATCCAACAAATGAATATATGCATTATAAGTATTCCAGAAATATGCTAGAAAGGGAAAAATGTAGAAAGCTCATTTTTTTTTAACAAGAGTTGGAGTTTCGCTCTTGTTACCCAGGCTGGAGTACAATGGTGCAATCTTGGCTCACCGCAACCTCCGCCTCCTGGATTCAGGCAATTCTCCTGCCTCAGCCTCCTGTGTAGCTGGGAGTACAGGCACACGCCACCATGCCCAGCTGATTTTTTGTATTTTTAGTAGAGACGAGGTTTCACCATGTTGACCAGGATGTTCTTGATCTCTTGACCTTGTGATCCACCCACCTCGGCCTACCAAAGTTCTGGGATACAGGCTTGAGCCACCACGCCTGGCCAGAAAGCTCATTTAAAGAAAAACATGGCCACTTTCCAAAATCTTGGAAGTAATACTAAATGTAGATTCATGAAGCTTTTAGATCACCACTCTATATTAACCAAAATATTACCCAGACACCTTACAATCAGATCGTCAAAAGTTATAACAAAAAAATAATTTTGAAAACAGTTAAGGAAAAGTGACTTACCACATACACCGGAGAATTTATAAGGTTATCAGTAAATTTCTCAGCAGAAACTTTACAGACCAGGAGGGAGTGGTATAATATCTTCAACAGGCTGAAAAACAAAACAAAAACTGCCAACTAAGACTATAATCATCAGCAAAGCTGCCCTTCAGAAATAAAAAAAATAATAATATTCTAAGACAAACAAAAACTGAGGCAATACATCACCACTAAAGGTGTTTTACAGGAAATACTAAAGATAATTTCTCAAGCTGAAAGAAAAGGACGCTAAGTAATAAAATGAAAACATATAAAAGTATAATAATAGTAAGGTAAACTTAAATTCAGAATACTTTAATATTATAATAGCTGTACATAAGTCACTTTTAACACTAGTATAAAAGTCAAAAGCCAAAAGATAAAATAACTGTAGCTACAACAATTTGCCAAAAGATACACAACATAAAAATGTGTAAAATATAACACCAATAGCACACAATATGTACTGGTGGGGGAAGGAGTAAAATACAGAGATTTTATACATGAATAAATTTCTATTTAAAAATAGATTGTTATAACTAAAAATATTTTATGTAAGCCTCATGGTAGTCACAGAAAAAAAATTGGAAGTAAATAAAATATTAAAAAAAAGGAAATATTGAGCAGTAGTTTGCAGATCTCTCTGTAGAAATCCTTCATTTCTCTTGTTAGCTGTATTACTAAGTATTTTATTCTTTTTGTGACAATTGTGAATAAAAGTTCTTTCATGCTTTGGCTCTCTGCCTGCCTGTTGGTGGTGCATAGGAATGCTAGTGACATTTGCACATTTATTTTGTATTCTAAGACTTCACTGTAGTTGCTTAACAGATTAAGAAGCTTTTGGGCTGAGATGATGGGTTTTCTAGATACGGGATAATGTCATCTGCAGAAAAAGATAGTTTGACACTCTCTCTTTCTATTTGAATACCCCTAATTTTTTTCTCTGGTCTAATTGCCCTAGCCAGAAATTCTAATACTATGTTGAATAGCAATAGTGAGAGAGGACATCATTGACTTGTACCAGTTTTCAAGGAGAATGCCTCTTTTGCCTATTCAGTATCATATTGGCTGGCTCTTATTATTTTGAGGTATGTTCCTTCAATAGCTATGACATAAGCAAATGGCAAATTATTTCATGGATAGGAAGAATCATTATCTTAAAAATGGCCATACTGCCCACAGCAATTTATAGATTCAATGCTATTCCCAGTAAGCTACCATTGACATCCTTCACAGAGTTAGAAAAAACTATTTTAAAATTCATATAGAACCAAAAAAGAGTCCAAATAGCCAATGTAATCCTAAATAATCCTAAGCAAAAAGACAATAGGTGGAAGCATCACACTACCTGACTTCAAACTATACTACTACAAGGCTGCAGTCAACAAAACAGCATGGTACTAGTACAAAAACAGACACATAATCCAAAAATCAAACCACACACCTACATCCATCTGATCCTCAACAAACTTGACAAAAAAAGAATGGGGAAGTGATTTTCTATTTAATAAAGAGTGCTAGGAGAATTGGCTAGCCATATGCAGAAAATTGAAACTGGACTTCTTCCTTACACCATATAAAAAATCAATTCATTATAGATTAAAGACTTAAATTTAAAACTCCAAACTATAAAAACACAACAAGAAAACCTAGGCAATACCATTCAGGATACAGGGATGGCCAAATCCTTAAAGCAATCACAACAAAAGCCAAAATTGCCAAATGAAATCTAATTGAACTAAAGAGCTTCTGCACAGCAAAATAAACTATTAACAGAGTAAACAGACAACCTACAGAAGAGGAGAAAAATTTTCCAATCTATGCACTTGATGAAAGTCTAATATCCAGTATCTATAAGGAACTTAAACAAATTTACAAGAAAAAAACAACCCAATTAAAAAGTGGGTAAATGACATGAACAGACACTTCTCAAATGACAACATACATGGGGTCAACAAGCATAGGGAAAAAGCTCAACATCACTGACCATTAGAGAAATGCAGACTAAAACTGCTATGAGATACCATCTCATGCCAGTCAGAATGATTATTAAAAAGCAAAAAAAAAAAAAAAAATTAGATGCTGGTGAGGTTGTGGAGAAAAACGAACACTTTTACACTGTTGGTGGTAATGTAGTCAACCACTGTGAAAGACACTGTGGTAATTCCTCAAAATCTTAGATATAAAAATACCCAGTAATGGCATTATTGGATATAAACCCAAAGAATATAAACCATTCTGTTATAAAGACACATGCATGAATATGTTCAAAATAGCACTATTCAAAGTTGCAAAGACATGGAATCAACCTAAATGGTCATAGATGTTAGACTGGATAAAGAAAATGTGGTACATATATACCATAAAATACTATTCATCTGTAACTTTACAGGGACCTGGATGGAGCTGGAGGCCATCATCCTTAGCAAACTAATGCAGAAACAGAAAACCAAATACCACATGAGATCTTGATGATGAGAACACATGGATGCATAGAGGGGAACAATGCACACTGACTAAGGCCTACTGGAGTGTAGAGGCTGGGAAGAGGGAGCAGATTAGGAAAAATAATGAATAGTAGGCTTAATACCTGGCTGATGAAATAATCTATACAACAAATCCCCAAAACAAATGTTTATCTATGTAACAAATCTTCACATCCTGTACATGTACCATAAAGAGAAAGAAATCAAAACATTCCATTACAAGAAGAAACAAATAACAAGAGATGAAAGAAGGCAATAAAAATTTCATAAATAATAAAATGGCAGTAGCAAGTCCTTAGCCATTAATAATTACTTTAAATATAAATGGATTAAATTTGCTGATCAAAATACTCAGAGTGAAAGGGTAAAAAGAAAAATAAGATTCAACAATATACTGCTCAAAAAAGACTTATTTAAAACCTAAGGACACACATAGGCTGAAAGTGATGAGATGGAAAAAGATATTCCAAGCAAATGAAAACCAAAAGGAGCAAGGGTGGCTATATTTCTATTAGACAAAATGAACTCAGTCAAAATCTGTCACAAAAGATAGAGAAAATTACTATATAATAATAAAGGGGTCAGTTCATCAAGACAATATAAGAATTGTAAATATATATGCAGCCAACACAGTAGCACCTAAATATAGAAAGCAAAGATTGCCAAAACCCAATGGAGAAACAGAAATCCAATAATAGCAGAAAATGTCAATGCCCCTTCAACAATAGATAGATCATTCAGATAGAACTTGAATAACCCCATAGACCAAATAGACCTAACAGAATACATATGCAGCACATTCCATCCAAAGAGAAGAATACACACATGGGACATCCTCCAGAATAGATTATATGTGTGGTCACCAAACAAATATTAGCAAATTTGAAGATTTAAGTAATATTAAATGTATTTTTCTAACACAGTGGTATAAAACTCAAATTCAATAAAAGGAGCAGTTCTAAAAAAACACAATAGGTAAAAAGCAAGCTACTGAACAACCAGTGGATCAAAGAAGAAATCAGAGATGCAAAGACATTTCAATATGTACAAATCAGTAAAAATAGTATACCACATTAGCAGAATGAAGAATTTAAGACATACCATCATTCAATAGATGCAGAAAAAGCATTTGACAAAATTTAATATCCTTTCACAATTAAAAAAAAAAAACCTCTCAACAAATGTGATATACAAGGAATTCACCTCAAAATACTGAAGGACATTCATAACAATCCTCCAACTAACATTATACTCAATGGTGAAAAGATGAAAGCTCTTCCTCTAACATCAGCAACATAGCAAGAATGTCCAATCTGACTATTTGTATAACATAGTACTAGAAACCCTAGGTAGAGCAATTAGGTAAGAGAAATAAATAAAAAGTATCTACATTTGAAAGAAATCAGTTAAATTGTCTTTGTTTGTAAGAGATATTATATTTCTAGAACACTCTGAATACTTACCTCAAAACCTGTTAAAGCTAATAAGTGACCTCAATAAAGCGGCAGGATGTGAAATTAGCATAAAAAGCAGTTGCCTTTCTATACTCTAATAAGTTTTCTCAAAATTATATTAAGAACACAATTCTATTTACAATAGTATCAAACTTAATAAAATACTTAGGAATAAATTTAGCCAATGAGTTACATTTTGAAAGAAATTTAAAAAGACACAAATAAGTGGAAAGATGTCCTGTGTTTATACATCAGGAAAGTTAATCTTGTTAAAATGTCTATACTATCTAAAGCAATCTTCAGATTCAGTTCAATTCTTATCAAAAATACTAATGTCATTTTCTTCACAGAAATAGGAAAAAGTCCTAAAATGTGTATGGAACCAAAAAAGACCTTGAATAGACAAAATAATCTTGAGTAAGCACAAAAAGCTAGAGGCATCACATTTCTGAATTTCCAATTATATTACAAAGCTATGGTAGTCAACACAGCATGGTACTGGCCTACACAGAAAGAAAAATGAAGCAGAATAAAGCACCCAGAAATTAACCTGTACCTATATAGTAAGCCAACCTTTGAAAAGAGTGCCAAGAATATATAATGGGGAAAGATAGTGTGTTGAATATATGATGTTGAGAGAGCTAGATATCTATATACAAAAAGATAAAATTATATCCTCATTACACACAAAAATTAACTCAACATGGATTAAAGACTTAAATGTAAGACCTGAAACCAAAACTCTTTCAAAAGAAAACATGGGGTAAAAAACTCCTAGACATTGTTCTTGCGAATATTTTGGATATGACAACAAAAGTACAGGCAACAAACACAAATGTAAACAAGTGATACTATGTCAAACTAAAAAGTTACTGCACAGCAAAGGAAATAACAAAATAAAAAGAACTTACAAAACGGGAGAACATATTTGCAAATCATCTGTTTGATGAGAGTGAATATCCAAAATCTATAAGAAACTTATAGAACTCAAATAACAACAAAAATACCCTGATTTTAAAAATCAGCAAAAAAAAATTAGTAGATAATTCTGTGTCAACTTGATCTGAATAAGGAGTGCCCATACAGCTGAGAAAATATTATTTCTGAGTGTGTCTAAAAGGGTGTTTCTAGAG